TCCTTGAGCAGGAGGCTCACTCTGTCACCCAGGCTGGAGGGCAGCGGCATGCTCCCAGCCACTGTAGCCTCGACATGCTGGGCTCAGGCAATCCTTCTGCCTCGGCCTTCTAAGTAGCTGGAACTACAGGTATGCACCACCATGCCCAGCTAATTTTTTAAAAAATTTATTGTAGAGACGAGGTCTTGCCAAGTTGTACAGGCTGGTCTCAAACCCCTGGGCTCAGGCCATCTTCTCACCTCTGCCTCCCAAAGTGCTTGGATTTCAGGCATGAGCCACTGCATCTTTTATTTCTGAATCTTAATGAAGGAAACCACAGAGCTCTGCAGTTTGGCACCACCATAAACTCTTGATCTCAGATACCAGCTGACCTGTGATATATGTGTAGTTGGCCTCACTTAGGAATATGCTCTGTTCGCTTTTCCATAGTGGCAGTTTCCAACCTTCTCTCTGTTTGTACCGTCTTTAACAGAGAGTAGGAGCTTCAGGTGGGACATTTCTTCCCCCTGTCTTTCCACAAGCCTAATCCCAAGCTGCCATCACCTTTGTTAATGCTGCTGGAGCAGCCTCCTGGCAGACCAGTTTCCCTACTTCCCTTTGTGCTCTACGTTCTGTTCTCTTCTCTGTAGCAAGAATAACTAATTGGTGTATCAGAAAATTTACTCCTCTTCTTTTCTTTTCTTTGTCTGCAAAAAGGAAGACTCACTTCCTGTATTTTCTCCTAAACTTTTTATTTTGGAATATTCTAAACCTCAGAAAAGTTACAGGGATAGCAAAATGAATCACTTAGATACACGAAGTCAGTTATTAAATTTTGTAACATTTGCTTTACCCTTCTCATGTGTGTATATGTGTATTTGTATTTTCTTTGCAGAATCACTTAAGAGTAAGTAGTTGACGTCCTGTCACTTGACCCCTAAATGCCCCAACATTTGTTTTCTTAAGAATATGGACATTGTTTTGTAAAACCACAATCCAATTTAACATTGGGATAGTAATGTCATCTAATTTTTCAAAAATCTATATTCCATTTTTCCCACTTGGCCCCAAATTTGTCCCTATATCTTCTCTTTTCTTCCTGGATTCGGGCTACAATCAAGGATCAGACACTGCTTTTAATTGTCATTTCTCTTTGGTCTTTTAAAATCTAGAACAATTATCCAGTCTGTTTTGTTTTGCTTTCACGGCACAGACTTTTTAAAAGAGTCCAAGTCAGTTGTTTTCAGAATGTCCTTCAGTTTGGACTTACCTGATTCTCTCTACATGATTAGAATCAGAATAACTATATTGGCAGGAATAATACACAGGCAATGCCGTGTCCTTCCCAGTGCATCACATCGAGATCCATGCAATGCTGATTTAGCCCATGATTGATAATATGACTGAATGAGGACATGTCCTCCAAATGCTTTTCATTGGTATAGATATCTCTTTACTCTTGTAACTAATATGTAGAATTAGAGTAATCTTTTAAACGTATAAGGAATCTGTTTCTTTTGCAATTAAAATAAAACCTAATGAATGCCCTTATTGTGGCTTACAAGGCTCTCTATCAGAACATTTTAACTTTTCTTGAGCCAGGGAACACTTTGGTATAGGGTGAGGCCTATGGACCCGTCTCAAAATGTTTCTAATGTTTATATAGTGGTGAAGAAGTCTGGGCTTTAAGTGTACCCACTACTCCCACCTGTGCACATTGTACCTGATGGATGATTTTGATCTCGATACCCCTTTCCCTCCCCCTTCTGAGTCTCCAGTGTCCATTATACCATTCTTTGTCTTTGCATATCCTTAGTTTAGGATAGATAGGGTTGCACACACAAAAAAATATAATGAACTTTACTTGCCAAAATATTTTTAAAAACCAAAATGTGACATACAAATATGTGTCTTTGTTAATGCCATAAATAACATGACCTAGTAGTGGGTCTGATAACTACTGGGATTTTGAAGTTATGATGAGTGTAAATGATGCATTGAGATTTCTGCAGTAACTATAATAGGATAGGAAAACATTTAGAGTGTCTGTCAAATACAAAATTATAGTACTGATACCACTATATTGTGCTTTAGTCAGGGTCCAATGAAAATTAAGCTGTGGTTTATTCCCCATCCAAGCGCACGGACCTCCCGTGAACTCCCACCCCATGATTCCTCACCTTGTTCATATCTCTGAGAATAGAGTAGCAGTTTTTTTCAGTCCAATCAGGAAAATCAATTGTCATCCTTAATTTTCTTCCTTTCTTTGCTTTCTGCATCTAATGAAATAATTAACCTCTCCTGGGAATTCTGCCTCCCACATCTTTCCCCAGTCCTGTAGCCACTATCTGATTCTACCCTCTGCCATCTCACCTGCATGACACCATGATGTGGCAGACACAGGTATCTCAGGTTTACAGATGAGGAAACAGAAGCCCAGATAGTTTCACACATGTCCAATATCAGCATGGGATCCATGTTTTGACACAGGAATTCACTCTCCAAGCCTATGGTTTTGAATTCCCCAAGAAAAGAAATCTCATCCATCGTGGTCCCCCAAATCCAAAATTTCCAGTAGTCCAGTTTTATCATAGGGTTCTATTCAAAGGAAAAAATTCTACCATAAAATAATGAATTGAAAATCAATGAACTTTTGGGGGACCAAAGGGAGGCCCAAACTTTACCTGTGCAACGTCCACTTATATACCTAATCCTGAATTGTATCCCACATCTTTAAAATTAAATTAAGCTAAATTAAAATAAATAAACTTGAGTTAAGGTTATTTGGTAAATAAATTATGTATATCTTCATCTAATCATCCTAATATATTTTTTTCATCATATTCCTTGCTCTTATTCCCCAAAGCCCACCCCCAAATTCTGTTCTCCTCACTTTCCAAGTTTATAAAAATATGTTTTCTCAGACTTTATAACCCTCTTCTTCAAACTCTCTTAGATTAGCTTTCTGTACTCTTTGGATTTTTATTCCTTTATTACTCATCGCCCAGAACTTGTGCCATAAAAGAGGGCTTACAGATGACCATCAAGGCAGAGGGACAGAGGCAGGTGGAGACTAAACACTCATATTTTTTTCTTTTTAGGAGGTATAAAGAATTTTTGGTTACATGGTTGCATTATATAGTGGTGAAGAAGTCTGCACTTTAAATGTACCTACCATTCCCACCTGTGCACATTGTACCTGATAGGTGATTTTTTTTTATCTCTCCACTCCTCCCCCCCCCCACTTCTGAGTTTCCAGTGTCCACTATATCATTCTCTATGCCTTTGCATATTCTTAGTTTAGCTCTTACTTATGAGTAAGAACATGTGGTGTTTGGTTTTTCTGTTCCTGAGTTAGTTCATTTAGGATGAGGTTCTCCAATTCCAACCAAGTTGCTGCAAAAGACATTATTTTATTCTTTTTTGATGACTGAATAATATTCCATAATGTATATATCACATTTTTTATTATCCACTGATTGGTTAATGGGTATTTAGGTTGATTCCACATCTTTGTGAGTTGTACTGTGATGAACATGCAGGTGCAGGTGTCTTTTTTTGTAAAATGACCTCTGTACCTTTGGGTAAATGCCTAATATTGGGATTGCTGGATTAAATGGTAAATCTACTTTTAGTTACTTGAGAAATCTCCATACCAATTTCCATAGAGATTATATTAATTTACCTTCCTACCAACGGTGTATAAGCTTTCCCTTTTCTTCACATCTGTGCCAGCATCTATTTTTTTTATTTTGTTTTTAATAATGGCCATTCTAACTGGTATTAGGTAATATCTCACTGTGGCTTTAATTTTCATTTCCCTGATGATGAGTAATGTTGAGCATTTTTTCATATATCTGTTGGCCATTTGTATATCTTCAAGAGATGTCTGTTCATGTCATTTGTCCACTTTTTAATGGGGTTATTTACTTTTTTCTTGCTGATTTGTCTGAGTTCTTTATAGCTTCTGGGTATTAGTCCTTTGTCAGATGTATAGTTTGTGAATATGATTCTTTTTGCATTGTTGATTATTTCTTTTACTGTAAACACTCATATTTTTAATTTACTTTTTAATTTTTTTACCTTATAATACTTTTAAATTTACTTTACAATGCAAATCAACTGCATTAAAGTGCACAACTCAAACATGGATAGCTTGATCAATTATTATGCCACCCACATCAAGATAGAACATGTATGGAGTCCCTGACAGGCTCCTGTCTACTTTTCTAGTCAATATCTACCTACTCTCAATAGCAACCACTAAACCCTCTCACAACAGACTGATTTTGTCTATTTTCAAACTTTATATAAATGGACAGTAGCTACTCTTTTATGTCTGGCTTTTTCAACATTATATCTGTGTAGTAGAACATTGTGGTTTTTTTCATTATTGGGTATTATTTATTAAATGCATATTACACTATTTGTCCATCCTACACATGATAGACATTTAAGTTGTTTTCAGTGTTTGGCTATTATGAACACAGCTGCTCTGAGTATTTGTGCATGGGCAAAGCTTCTGATTTCTGTTGGGTGTGTGCCCTGAACTGAAATTGTAGGTTCACTGACTAAAGTTTATTCTGCAATAATAGAAATTGACAAACAAGAATTTAATACCTTTTCTTTTATTCGGTCTCGTATATCTGAATCTGCTATACCTAGTACCATTCCTCTTTTTGGGAAGCATGTAGTAAAATAAGTTACTGTTGAATGTGGGCATTTTGGCCAGTATTCTCAAATTAATTAATACATTTGTAGAAATGTAAAATTTGTAGTAATACTTTCTTTTTATTTATGTAGATCATCGATCCTTTTGTTGAAGTTGAAATTATTGGATTGCCAGTAGATTGTTGTAAAGATCAAACCCGTGTGGTGGATGACAATGGTGAGATGATCATCCATGTTCATTTTTAATGAGGTTGTACTAGAAATAGAATTTGCAATTGAGAAGAAAAACGAGTGTGAAGAGCAGCAAATCTCTAAAGTCCATAACAGCTATTTGAGTTTATGTTAAGATTCTTCAGTATATAAAACTAAGTCACTGTGGGATTGATGCCTGTTGTATTTTGATAGTATAATCTAGGCTTTCCATACTGTTGCTTTTGAAACAAAAATTCTTTCCAATGAGAAGAGTATATAATATTTTAAAGAACTGGGTTAAAAGTCCACTTAGGAAAATGACTCCATTATATTTTTATATTGTTTTTATGACATGAGTTTTCTCAAAGCTCTCATTTGTGAAGCCTATGTATGTTGATCATTCCTCATTTTTTTCTGGAGTGTGTAAAACTCTAAAGGCTAGTGCAGTGCAGTCTGGAAAATTTATTTCTTAAATATGTATATGTGGTAAAGAGGTAGCATTCTTATATTTTGGCCATAATATAAAGAAAGCTTTCTTTAATCTCAAGCCTCATGTCTTTTTTCTTGGTGATCTCTTAAAATTCATTTGTTCATAAATTGACAAGCATTATTGCATACCTATTTTTCTCAGTCTCTAGTCATTAATACTCTAAAATAAGTTTAAACCATCATCATTAAAACATTTGAGAAATGAGGGGTTCATAGAGTGGTCTTGAAGAAATATGAGAATGCTAGTGTAGGGTAAGCCTATAACTTAGGAAAGAACATACTTAAAGAAAAGCAGTCTCCCTAGATTGCATTTTTCCCACTGATGTTCAATAGAGTATTCTTTATATAGTCTCAGGGGTAATTGAGAGGCCGTCACTGACGATCCTCTCTTGTTTAAGAGGGACATCTTAAACAGTGATTTCTAGCCCGTAATTATTTCATTAGTTTGAGGCTTTTTATAGGATTCTATGGTTGATGCCTGAATATATACTTTTAGCAAAACTTATTTTCATTTTTTTAGAAAAGAAAAACAGAAACTTATGGAGTACTTAAATTTTTTATCAGTTTTTAAAATTATTTTATCAGAGAGAATTTTACCAAGTAGAAGATGTATGTTTGCTTTTTAGTGCTTGAGTTATATTACATACCTTTTCTGTTTATTTCCAGTAGTTATGAAAATATACCATCATTCATGTAGTAAGGTCTTGCTCCATGAGAAGCCACTGGGAACCAATAGTACACAGTCTGATTTGTCCCTGTCACTAACTGTAAGGCCCTGTGTGACCTTAGACACGATTTTTTCTATGAACATTAATTTTTTTAAACTATAAAATGATTTATAAGTATGACTGTTTTCGACTTTAAAACATAAATATGTATTACTTGTATAGATTTTGAAAGCTATATGTATTTGAGAATGAGTAATACATTTTTTTTTAACTAGAAAGAAACAAAAACAAAAACGCTGCCCTACTGCTTTTAGAATATTGCTATAAGAATTAAATAAGATGATATTTGAACAATAGTGCTAAAACTTGCAAACCACCTTTAAAATAGTTGGTGGTGGTTATTATAGCAGCAGAATCTTTGGTGCATAGGAAGCATAATTCTATGAAAGTGGGATATCATTCTTTTTTTTTTCCCCAAGACAGGGTCTGGCTCTGTCACCCAGGCTGGGTGTGGTGGCATGATCATAGCCTACTGCAGCCTTGAACTCAGACTCAAGTCATCCTTCCATCTCAGTCTCCAGAATAGCTGTGACTACAGGCATGTACCACCATGCCTGGTTAATTTTTTATTTTATATAGAGATGGAATTTCACTAGGTTGCCCAGTTGGTCTTAAACTCCTGCCCTCAAGTGATCTTCCCACCTTGGCCTCCCAAAGCAGTACAGTTACAAACATGAGCCATCACATCCAGTCTGGGTATTGTTCTTTATTGTTTTTGCTAAAACATTATTCTTAGATCACTACTATAGATAATTTCTGAATTTACTGAAGCATTCTGAATACTAAAGAGCTTTCTCTGCAATACAGTTGGGCATCAAAGATTAATAGACTTGATATGATAATTTACAGGCAATTTTCTTACCAATTATTTTCTAACAAGGGGGTAAATTTCAAGGCTTTATCCAGTAAGGTGTCCTGGAGTGACTCAGTCATCTTCACAAGTTTAATAATCACCGCAAGCAATTTTTACCGTCTGCTTTGCAGATGTTACTGCCAACTCATTTTCAGCTAAGTTCTTTGCTTTTCTGATTTTTCTTTTCCTATTTCTCCGAGGATTTAACCCTGTGTGGGAAGAAACCCTGACATTTACAGTACACATGCCAGAAATAGCTTTGGTCCGGTTCCTTGTGTGGGATCATGATCCCATTGGACGAGACTTCGTTGGACAGAGAACTGTGACCTTCAGCAGTTTAGTGCCTGGTAGGTATGAGCTGGTAATTTTCTTTGGAAGTTTTAATATGTAACATATGACTTATATGACATGCATGACTTATGTGATAGCATATGTAATGTGTGAAATATGTCCTATGATACATGTGACTGTTAACATGCTTTGTAAAATGTAAAGAACTATAGTCAAGGCAAATACTGAATTTTCTTGCACCCATAGGAAAGCCAAATGTAAGTTCAACTAAAAAAAAATGACTTTCTTTACTTTTATCAGGCTACCGACATGTCTATTTGGAAGGACTGACCGAGGCATCCATATTTGTCCACATAACAATTAATGAAATCTACGGAAAGGTGAGAAAGGTCATAAGGCTCAAAGTCACATACAACAATAATATGGTCCTTAACAAAGTTACTGCCTGGCTAATTTCATGGAAGGAATGTACATTTGTTCTTCAACAGAAAACTATAGGGAGGCCTAATTGGCTATTCCAGTCACGTCCTGATCACCCTATACTCCTTCCACTGTTCAGAGGTGTGTAGTCATTCCTTCTATGCAAGGGCCCTCTCCAGGCTTTGTAGAAATGAGAAAACTCCTTAAAAAGGCCCAGCTGACTGCAGTGGGAAATATGGAATCTCAGATGTTTGATGAATTACTTGTGCTGACTGGACTGTGATCCCAACCAGTTCAAGACAGGCTGTGTGCATTTGGTGCCATTGTTTTTAACTGAAAACCTAAAAATTATGAATGAATTTTAAAGCAACCCATGAGACTTAAAAGAAGGTGACCACAGAAGCGTATGCTAGTTCTCTCCTGATGCTCATGTCTCCATCTGAGCACACTCACTTGAGGTTTCCATATCAATATTCTGTCCTCCGGTCATGCCAAGTAACTGGGGACTTGGCCACTGGTAGGAATTTTCAGGATTTGACAGGGTTGTTAGAGCATTGTATAGGGTCTAGGAATGTCCATAGAGCCTGGAGGTTTTCCTCTAGAGATAGACACATTCTCTGTGCTTCAGCATCCTGGTCTATAAATGTGGGATAAAAATAGTGCCTACCTTATAAGTAAACATGTGTATTCTTCTTCGAAAGCTGCTTGGTACATATCAATGCTCAAAACATGTTGACTAATATTAATATTGCGACTACAATCCAGTTGTTAAGAAATGGACTGTTTTAGCCTGAATTAGGGACTAAGAGGAATGGCCCATTTTAGCCTGAATCAGAGATTAAGGAATGACCCGTTTTTGCCTGAATTAAGGGGTATATGTTTCTCTTCACATCAGTCAGCAGAAGTGGGGTGGGAGGATTCTAATTTCTAAGACTGGTGAAGTTTTACACCATAAATTTCTACATTTTGTCCTGGATTTATGTTTGTGCTGCTTGTTGTACTCTTGCCTGAGTAGACACATAAGTCAAGGATTCAAAAATGATTCTTGATTATCAGAATCCCAGGGAAACTGCATGGTACCTCTAGCATGTATCATGGTTGAGGGAAATGAATTTGTTTAAAACTCAAGCGAGAAATAAGTTCAACTTTGCAAGTGTCCTTCAGGACTTTTGTTTTCTTTCCATGCATGAGTCCTACTGTTTATTTCTTTCAAGGTGTGAGTTCAAGTGGGGATGTTTATACCACAATGTGGTGGTGTTGGTTAACCAATGAATGAGCAGGAGACTAAAAGCACTAAAACTGGGAGACAGGGCTTATAGAAGCCTATGCACTCCTTTTTCCTTTTGTGTTCACTTGTGCCACCTTCTCGAATGAGCTCCAATTGTGTTTTGTTGTGTTTTTGTTTCTTTCCCTTGCAGTGGAGCCCTTTAATACTCAACCCCAGTTATACTATATTGCACTTTCTAGGAGCTACAAAGGTAGTTTCTCGGCATGGGGCTTTGTTCTTGCTGGCACATTTCTTTTTAAGTGGTTTTGGCAGCATGCTCTCTCATGTCACTCATTCTCCTGCTTAGCACTTTGAAACATGCATCTGTTGCTTTAAGGTGGCTGAAGTTTGTCATCGTCTTTTAACTGTGGAGACTTCTTACCACCTTGTCATCTCTGGGTAGGAAACTTCTGGGTCATAAGAATGGACTTTCTTACAAAGTAAGGTCGATACGATGTGCATGATGCTACGCACATGCTATGAGCTGCTGTTTTCTTGGTTTGAACTTACTTCAATGGCTGTAAAATTTCATCATATTCATTTTTTCATGAAGCTGTCATTTTAAAGGTTGTAGACACAATGGCATTTACTTAACTTGTGGCTGGTCCTTTTGTGTCTTCAGAACAGACAGCTCCAAGGCCTGAAGGGACTGTTCAATAAGAATCCCAGGCACGCTTCTTCAGAAAACAGTTCCCATTATGTTCGGAAACGATCGATTGGGGACAGAATTCTGCGCCGCACGGCCAGTGCTCCGGCCAAAGGCAGGAAAAAGAGCAAAATGGGCTTCCAAGAAATGGTCGAGATCAAGGACTCCGTGTCTGAGGCCACAAGAGACCAAGATGGAGTGCTGAGGAGGACCACCCGGAGTCTGCAAGCACGCCCTGTCTCTATGCCTGTGGACAGAAGTCTTCTGGGAGCTCTGTCACTGCCTGCGTCTGAAACAGCAAAAGATACTGAAGGAAAAGAAAACTCTCAGGGTAAGATGCTTCAAGTTTCTCTAAGAATAAACCCTTCTAGGCTGCATTTCGGTCCCTGATTACCATTATGACATGGTTGATATTCTGTAGTCAGTGTAAAGTATGCTGAAAAATAAAGCATTTTTAATGTGACCCACTAGACCAGAAGAGTCCAACCTTTTGGGGGAAGGTGGTAGAAGAAATATTTCCTCTTCACCCAGAGCTTTAAATCAACATTGACAACTGAAATTGACCTCGAGGAACAGGAAGCCATTAGGCGTGCTGGCATGAAGTATAGGGAAATAGGACCCAGAGAGGTGAAATCTGCAGAATGGGAGTAGAAATATTGGGTTTTCAAATAATCACCCTATTTACTGAGTGTTCTGAGGTTGAATATGGCTGTAATTTTCCCATCACATATTTCCATGGCTGTAAATGTTCATGGAGAAAGAAAGCCAGATGTTAAAAACAAGCCACCTTCTCCACTTGAAAAAAAAAATCTTGGCTTCCTTAAGAGGTGGCTCAGGCAATGTTTTCCTGTGGCTTCACTTCCCTGATTCTTGGGTGCTGGTAAAAAGGGAGACATGCCTGTGGTGGCCCCTGACCAGCTGTAAGCTTCACAAGTGCAGGGACCAAGTGCTACCGGTCTTCTTTGCCCTTAATTTGAGTGTATTGTTGACTCATATCAGGAACTCAAGACAGAGAGAGGACTGCTTTGCAACGTGCCAAAGAGCTCTTGACATGTGTCGGTGATTCCCTTCCCCCATCCGATTCTGGGTAAATTTAAGTTCCAAAGCTGTATCCCTTTGATATCCCTGGAACAAATATGTTTTAATCAAATCAGAATAACCCCAGACAAGTGAAATGCGATACCTAATTCCTTTAGCAAGATTATTCTTTTATCAAACAGTCGCTAACATCAATTATCTGTTTTTTCACAAGCAACATTTTGCTTAGGTTAATTTTTGTTGTAAGATATTCTAGGGAGAAAACCCAGTTATTGAATAGTTTATTTGAAGGAGAAAAAAGAAATTTATTCTTCTTCTTCTTCTTCTTATTTTTATTAGAGATGGGATTTTGCTATGTTGCCCAGGCTGGTTTTGAACTCCTGGACTCATGATCCTTTTGCTTCCCAAAGTGCTGGGATTACAGAAGTGAGCCACCACCGTGCCCAGCCTAGGAAATTTAAAAGTTTAAAATTTTGCTAAGAGCAGCGTCAAGAAATGAAACGTGTTTTAAAACTTATTTTAAAACTCCCACCTTTGGGGAAAATAAACCTGTATTCAGTAGAAATTGGTAATCATTAATCCTGTTAATGCCACAGTTAAGATGTTAATACCATTAAAATGAGTTAGAAAGCGTTTTGAAATAATATTTCTTTTCTACTGACAAAAAGTCAGTTACATAAATTAGTCACATATATTAAACTTTTGGTAAATATAAAGTAATACATAGTGATACAACAATTCAGGTTATATTGTAGAAAGAAAGATTAAGTGAAGAAAAAGCAGAATACAAAATTCTGTACATTATTCTGTCCCTCTGTAAAAACTTAATAGTACTATATCTGAATGGTAATATCATAGGATATTTAATTTATTTCTTTAGAATTTTTTCAGGTTTTTAGAATTTTTATGATGAATGTGTTATTTGTTAGGAAAATATTTAATAGGTTAAACAAATTCTTATGTCTTTTATATTATGACTCTGAAAGTATTAAAGACTTTAAAGTTATCTGATCAAAAATTGAACACCTAGTATTTTCTTAGCAGTATACTAACCATAATGAGATATCCCAAATTACTGTGAATTGTGTGTTTTTTTAGTTTTCCTTACTGTGCCTGACGTTTTAGGGGAGAACGCAGTATGAAATTTGGGTAACAAAAAGAAAAATGTGATTAACAAAAAATTAGATGTTAGCAATGACATAGAATTGATAATCTGTTTTTTAATCTCTACATTTTAAGTGAACAGATAATGATATTTTAATGCACTTATTGCACCTTCTAATTATTTACAAAATAAATTAAACTTTTTGCCAAAATGTTTCTAAAATGATATTATTTATTTTTTATTTTAATTATATATTTTTAAGCTAATACATGTTTAACTTTAAAGATTTTAGTATCTTGCTTGCTTACCACAATACTTTGTTTAACAGAGCTGTCTTGTTCTGTTTTTATTGCCATGCCTCTGTGTAGTACAAATCTGAATAGGAAACAACCTAAGGTAATCCTCACTGTACAAGTATGGTAACTCATTGACATTTTTTGACAATGAATATTACATCCTTAGCTGATGTAATGCATATTCAAAGGGATGCTTCAGTGAAATGCCTATAAATATATTTTACCATTTTTTTCATCACACAGACACTTTGTTGCAAGCCTATGCAATCCATATTTATACTCCGTCACAGTGTAACAGATTTACATTCTCCATTTGTCTGTCTGAAGACAAACATGAGTGTTTGCAGGTCCCACATAAACAAATACATGTCACTTAAGATGTTGTTTTTTTTTTTTCCTTCAGCAGAAGATAAGAATGGCAGAAGAAAAGGGAAGGCAAATATAAAAGATCCACACTTGCCGAATTTCAACAAAAAGTTGTCCTCCTCCTCCAGTGCTCTTTTCCGCAAAGACACTAGCCAAGGGAACTCCATTGTTTTATCTGCCAACACATCAATCACAGGAGAACAGCTGGGCATGCCAGGTCCTAAGAGTGGGAAAACCAAGTCAGATGCGACAGGTGATTGCCAGGAAAACCACTGTCCCAACAAGTCTGCCTGCCAGAGGCAGCCTTTCGCTCTTGATCCTGCAGTTAACCCAACACAAGACCTGCGTGGTATGAAAACCAAGGAGAAGGGGAATGCCAAGGACTTTGTGGAAGGGAAAAACACGTTATCAGGAAGCGTCCTTTCTCAAAGCAGTCTGGAGCTTAAGAACCTGGAAGGTAATAAGAGTAAGGGCAGATCAGCGACATCCTTTTCTTTGTCAGACGTCTCCATGCTCTGCTCTGACATACCTGACTTACATTCAACTGCGATTCTGCAGGAGAGTGACATTTCCCATCTTATTGACAATGTCACTTTAACCAATGAGAATGAGCCGGGCAGTTCCATCTCAGCACTGATTGGCCAGTTTGATGAAACCAGCCATCAGGCTAGTCTCACACTTGTATCTCATCTTCATAATACCAGTGTTATATCAGGCCATTGTCCCTTGCCTAGTCTGGGTCTAAAAACGCCCTTCAAACCTGATTTTCCCAAGGGAAGACCCAAGTCTTCCTTATTGTGCTCATCTCCTGAATTGATCACATTCTCCAGTCCTGAGACCACCAGACATACAACATACGCAGTTTGTGAATCTACCTATACTCCCGACTCTAAAACCAAACCAGATGATAATCTTTCTAAAGCCAAGACAGGCACTGTGGAAGGCAACATGCCCGGGTCCCCTAATACTTCTCATGGCTGGTTACCAAAAAGCCCCACCAATGGAGAAGACTGCAAAGCACTGAAGAGTCACTGCAACCCTGCCTCTTCCCCTGATTTGACCCTGGAAGATATAATAGCCAACCCCAGTCTCTGTCTCAATTCTGGAGACAGCAGCCTTGTGGAAATTGATGGAGAGTTGGAAAATCTGTCTCTAACAACCTATGAATATAGGAGAGAAGGCACAAGTCAACTCACTTCTCCTTTGAAACTGAAGTACAGTCAGGATGTGGTCGAACGCTTCCAAAGAGGGTTGAGAAATGGCTACTGTAAAGAGACACTCCACCCTTCTGTCCCTGAGATATTCAACAATATTCAAGATGTCAAAACTCAAAGTATTTCTTATGTAGCCTATCAGGGTGCTGGCTTTGTACATAACTGTTTCTCAACTTCAGATGCAAAAATGTACCAGAGCTGTGTGCCCCAGCAGTCTAGTGCCCTAGATATGCAAGCCCCTGCACCCAAGCAGTTGGCCCATCTACCTTTGCCTGCTCTGAAACTGCCCAGTCCTTGCAAATCCAAAAGTCTGGGGGACTTAACATCAGAAGATATCACCTGCAATTTTGAGAGCAAGTACCAGTGTATTAGTAAGAGTTTTGTCACAACTGGCATTAGAGACAAGAAAGGTGTGACCTTGAAGACAAAATCCTTAGAGCCTTTGGACGCCCTGACTGAGCAGCTTCGGAAGCTCGTGTCCTTTGACCAGGAAGACAGCTGCCAAGTGCTGTATTCAAAGCAGGATGCCAGTCAGTTCCCCAGGGCCCTGGTCAGGAAGTTGTCATCCAGAAGTCAGAGCAGAGTACGTAATATTGCCAGTCGTGCCAAGGAGAAACAGGAAGCCAACAGACAGAGAGTGGTAAACCCCAGCACCGGGGCAGGAGTGGTTCTCAGAAACAAGCCCCCAGCACCCCCTCCTACCGTGAACCGCCACTCCACGGGCTCGTACATTGCAGGCTACCTGAGGAACACGAAAGGGAGTGGCCTCGAAGGCCGGGGCATCCCAGAGGGAGCATGCACGGCTCTTCGCTACAGCTATGTTGACCAGCTTTGTTCAGATGGTTCTGTTTTGCAGACTGAGCCAAGCAGTGATGATAAACCAGAAATTTATTTTCTTTTGAGACTGTAAATTCTATAAAGCTGCATTCTCAGTGTTTACAAGGTATTCTGTGGAATGTCAGAATTTACAGTAAATAAGGCTCTTGGCTTTGGAATGAATCTCAGATATATTTTTAAGCTTGTATTTGGCCACTCTTTGACTTCATGTGTTCTCCCTGTTAATGCATTTGTATATAGATTTGGTGACATTTCCCATGTACCTATTATGGTCTTTCTCCCTTGAGGTGTTGTAAACTGTATCAGTATGAAATATGTGCATGCCCTAGATATGAAACTTCTCAGCAGCTTGGGTTACAGCATATGCACGTTTTACCAAGATGTCCTTTACTGTGTCCTCAGATTGTAGTCACAAACGTAGTCATTTTTACTCTCTTACTGTTGAAGTGATGAAGAGACTTTGCAAATGACAAAGGGATGAATTCCTTATTTTCAGCTGTTATCATTTTTCCTTCTTTGTTGAGAAGCCCAGATGCATTTTTAAAAGTCAGTTAAAAGAAATTTAAAATGGTTACCTTGCCTGTTAAAATTTCCTCACCCCCACCCATAATGAATTTTAAACTGCTCCCTGCGCCCTCCCTTCTTTTTAGAATATGTAAAGGTATGAGGAAGAAGGCAAACTGTATATATATGTGGACAAAATTGTTTGTTTTACATAAATTTTGTTACATATTTTTGCTAATGGCTTTGTATGTAACAAGATCCCTGTTGCCAAACTATTTGTTATACTTTTGAATTTTCTGATTAAATGATAGGCTGCAAATAATGGCTTTCAGAATGAAGGGCTTCCATCAGACTCTAACAATAATAGTAGCACAAATTGAGAACTTCCCCAAAACTTTCAAGAAAGAATATTTTCTCATAATAAAATCCAAGTGAATAGATAATTAGAGAAAACCTTTTTCCTTCAGGGAACCAAGTAACTATATTTTAGTACCGACATGCATTATTTTCACTGTGAATCCTTTTTTTTTTTTTTATTGCATGTTCAGATGTCTTTCTTTGTTTCATTTTTTTGTTTGTTTTTTTGTAACATTAACTGCAGTGATATTCTTCCTGGAATATGAAAACATAATTAAAGCAAATTTTTAAACAAAAATGTTGAGTTTTTATTTACAATTGAAATTTGTACAAAGACTGTTGAGTGAGGGACCTAGGATGTATTTTCCTACCCCTGAGTTTGCAGCAGAATAGAGAATTTCTACCACAGAGAACAGTTTTAAGCAACAATTTATGTCTCTGTGTACATTCAGTTTTCATAGTGCTTTAAAGAGTATATTTGTGAGGTGACTTGGAAAGAAATCAAATGTAATGAGTTTATTTGCATTTGGTGTTGATATTGCAGGTTTAAAAGTAATCCTTTCCAATTGGTCGGGAGGTGCTGGGTGGATGGGGTGGGGAGTCATGTGGGAAGGCAGGTGAGGTGCAACGCTTAGCTAATGACGCTCTCAGAAGCTTTGTGATGTGGGAGAAGGAGAGTATTCGGTCTCTTATTTCCTTAGTTCTCTTGAGTCTTCCCCCGAGGTGAGGAGTCCTCTTTTTGGGCAGGTGCCAGGATCCTGGTTGGGGCAGATATATAGTGGTGGAAGGGAGAGAGACCCATTTCTAATCCCTTTAGTGAGCCAAAGACATGTTTTCTTCTTGGGGACTCTGAACACCCAAAGCTACTTCTTAGACCTTGGTTTGCTTTTAACGTATCCTTGTCTTAGAAGGGATTGACATGATGTAATATTGTTAAAATTCACTCGCAAAAGAATAGAATTTAGCTGCTGCTTGTTATGATTTGATGGAGTTTTTTATTCTTAAAAAAAAGTTCATGTGTTTACATTTGGATGTCAACCCTGGCTCAAAGGGATCTAATCATGACATAAATGGTTGGGACCAAGAGTTGGGTTATCAGGCCAGTCCCCAGGTGCCCATGTGAGCCTGTCACCTATGCATGTAGTATTCTTTTACTCATAGGACATGGGAAGACAAGAGGAAGGAATTTTGGTATTGCCTAACAAGGAAGAGGCAGTAATAAAGTGATAATTCTTTTTAAGTCTCACTCTGTCACCCAGGCTGGAGTTTAGTAGCATGGTCATGACTCACCACAGCCTCACCCTCCTGGGCTCAGGCAATCCTCCCACCTCAGCCTCCCAAGTAGCTGGGACTACAGGTGAATGCCATCATGCCCAGCTAATTTTTTTTTTTGTAGAGATGAGTTCTCATTATGTTACCCTAGCTTGTCTTGAACTCCTGGGCCCAAGTAATTCTCCCACCTTGGCCTTTCAAAGTGCTGGGATTATAGGCACGGGCCACTGTACCAACTAAAGCTTAAATTTTAATAAAAGTTTTGGTACTCAGATTAGACTCATCAGGGCTTCATGTGTTTGGAGGATGGAAAAGGAACTTATTCCTTCAAAGGAAATCGCAGAAAAGAGGTCTCAATTAGGATATTAACAAGCTCCCTGATTTTTTTTTTCTTTTTCTTTTGAGCCCTGGAGAATCCAGGAAGCCCCTAGTCTCTGCATGATTAGAGCAAGCCCTGTGGAGTTTCACCGTGTTCTCATTTGACTCCTTTCACAGAGGTGGTGTGGCATGTTTCAAGGCTGAGCAGTCACAGGTGGCTGGGAGAGGTGCCTGCAGATATCTCCAGAGGACGGAAGCCAAGCTTCTTACCCTAAATCTGATCAAGCCACTGTTCCCACTTGAAACCCTTGAGTGGATCCCATCACTCACAGAATACGTTTCCGTAAGCTTGTATACTGGGTCTTCTTTGACTCAGTGGCTGACTGTTTCTGCAGCCTGGTGTTCTCTGTCTTGGGTTGTCTTTTCCTCCTTTGCCTACTGCATTCTTCAAATGCACCCCAGAGGATTCCTTTTTCTAGGGAGCCTTTCCTCATCATTAGCTCCTCTTCTCTGATTGTCCCTAACCCACCAAGAATCACCCAATCCCATTTGAGGACCTCTAGTACCCCTTGAAGCCCTGGGTTCCACTCCCCTGTAGGGATCTGTTCACGTGTCTGCCTCCTCCCCTAGACTTAGACTCACCTGAGGGTACGACCATGCTCTGTGCTCTCTTGGCTTGAGGCCTGCCACCTGTGTACATTCAGGAAACACTGGATAAACTGACGAATCACGGAACTTAGGGAAAGTGTGAGAGAAACTTTTGTCCACTGTCTCTGTGTGTCATATGTCCAGGAGGAAGAAGAATCACAGGATCTTATTCCAAGTAGCTTTGGGTGCTGATGATTGTGTTTTTCTTTTTATGTTTCCCTCTAGTTTTTTCGTTCCCCTGTTTCCATCTAGCCCACCCTTTTCCTTCCCTTTTTTTTTTTTTTTGAGTTGGAGTCTCACTCTGTTGCCCAGACTGGAGTGCAGTGGCCGCTTCTGGCCACCGCAGCCTCGACCTGCTGGGCTCCGGTGATCCTTCCGCCTCAGCCTTCCAAGTAGCTGGAACTACAGGCACGCGCTACCAGGCCCGGCTGATTTTTTTATTTACTGTAGAGATGAGGTCTCGCCAAGTTGCCCAGGCGGGCCTCGAACCCATGGGCTCAGGCAATCCACTCACCTCGGCCTCCCACAGTGCTGGGATTACAGGCTGAGCCACCGAGCGTGGCCCCTTTCCTTCCCTTTTAACTTAGTGACGACTTAGTCATTTACAGTGTGAAAGAGTATCTGGTATTTGTATAGCATTTGGCAGTATAAAGAGACTTTTATGCATAATGCACCTTATTTCATTCTTGCAATTTTGTAAGGAGATGATGTTATTTCCAATTCTCAGATTCTAATCACAAGTCTTAGCGTGTTATTTGCCCAAGGTCATGGGGCTGGGAAATAGCTGAACAAGGCTATTCCAACTCCTACACGAGTCCTCTTTCCCCTACACAGTATGTGCCTTTTCCGAAGACTTTAATAAACATTTAGTTAACATCCACTCTGGGTTAGGTCCTCAGCTGGGTGTTAGAATTATGATGATAGGGACTTGTCTTTATGAAGCCACCAGCTGGTAGAGGTACTGAGCTATATTAGTTTAACTCCCAATGTCCAAACGAGTAGAAACATACCACATATAATAGTTGAAAATATAAAGAAAGAGGAAATGTTATGTTCTGTATATATGACATCCATGAATCGCCCACTTTTTTTGGACTGATATAGCTAATCTCTTCTCCCAGGGTCACAGAAAAAGTGCCTATGGCAACATCTACCATGCTAACATTTTATTGGGAGGAGAGAGTGCATTCCCAGGGAAGCAAGAAAGAAGGTAAAGGAGAACTGAGTAGAGAAGGAAGGAGAGAAAATACAAGGGGATGAGTTACTGAGACAGCCACAGCTTTACAACAAAACCAGCCAGATGTGCTTGGATTTACAGGAAGCCTCCAGAGAAGCCACATAAAAAGGCGGCCTCTGAGAGCTGTCCACTGTAGGGAAGGAATGATGGGAGAAGTATTCTCATCTACTTTCCTTCAGTGGGAATTCTACTCTACAAGACACCCACTTCCTGTGTTTCCAGGATACACAGCCCCTTCAGGCAGCCACTGGGGAGTTAGACCCCAACCCAAGGCACAGTGCACTAGTCTCTCCAAATCAGCAGAGGGTGCTTGTTGGGACTCAGTGTATGATGCCAGTGGTAGTGGCAGCAGAAACAATGATGGGACTTTAACCACCGCAGGAGCAGCTGAATAGCTAAAACAAAGCCGGGCTCGGTGGCTCAGCCGGTAATCCCATGCCTTTGGGAGGCTGAGGTGAGTAGATTGCCCGAGTCCGTGGGTTCGAGACCCGCCTGGGCAACTTGGCGAGACCTCATCTCTACAATAAATCAAAAATTAGCTGCT